TTTTTATTTTTTAATTATGATTTATATATACATACATATGTATGTATGTATGTTTATAAATATTTTTTAATTCGTCCCCATCAGCCACTGCTTTTGCTGTCACCTGTTTGACCACATTGGTTTCACGTTATGGTAATGACGATCAAAAAGGTTCAGTTCTTGGTATTTTCCGTTCGCTGGGTGCTTTAGCGCGTGCTGTTGGCCCTGTTGTAGGCTGCATTTGTAAGTCTTGTGTATACATACATATCGACGGCACTTTGGCAAAACCTCGTATCTCAGAAATCTCGAATACTTCGTATCTCGTAAAATTATTCTTAATTAACTAAAAAGTACTTAATCTTTTATATGCAGTAAAAAAGTTTCTAAGTTTCTATATGTTCCGTCGATATGTATGTACATAGTATATTGACATGAATTTTGTAATTTTTTTTAATTCAAATATTTTGCAGCTTTTTGGTGCGTTGGTTCGCAGTTAACTTACATCACGGGTGGCCTTTTACTGCTGTATCCAGCGTATGCCTTGCAACGTGCAAATCTTTAAATATTTCTCGAATCCATATTACAAAAAAGTATTAAATTAATATTGTTCAGTTTTTCGTGCCAACAATCTTCAAATACATTCAATTGCATAATTAATTTTAACTTCATATATTTTTATACTCACTTTGTTCTTATACTATACAAGTTTGTATATTTAAGAATATTTTATATCATTATTTCATTATGTAGACAAGCATTCAACAATAATTTACAAACCCGTGTGTAAATATGAATATTCAGAACCTTTTATTAAATCTTGTATGTATATTCAGTAATCTAGTGTAAGAAACTTTTATATACTCTCTATAAATATATATATATACATAATATTACACTCATAATAATTGGGAAATACATTTTATTTGAAAGCGTGATTAAAGGAAATGAGATGACGAGGATCCTCTTAGGTTACCTGGACACTGTTCAGTGGACAGTCATACATACCTGGATATGAAGGATTTGCAGACCGATGAAGTGAAATTGTTCTTCACAACTCCAAATAAACTTTCTTCTAACGTTAAAAAGATTTATTTTACTTTCAACAAAACCGTATACTGGTTTCACTTGAAGTTTTGAATTTATTGAATTTTATGCATTTATTTATATACTTGTTAGCAAAAAATACTGTAGTATACTCCAAGCGACTTCCTCGAAATCAAAACATAACGATAAAGCAATGGAGATGTTCCGAATTCAGTAACGTAATAGAGTAACCACGCAGTAGTAGATTATTTTTTCGTTTTGCTTTCCACCTTCGCCGCCCGC